CCATGTTCGTGATGGCGGACATCACTACTATTGCGCTGTCCGCCCCTACTCTACATTACTCGTTTAAAGACTAAAACGATCGTTAATGTATAAAACAAAAGCCGCCGTTTTCGATCCTCGGTCGATAGTCTACTGCAGGTGCATAGGTGATTGTTTTGTCATCTAATCTCTTCTAAGCAGGTGATGATCGGCAAATGCCTTAAATTATTGAATAACTTGTCTGCGTACATTAAATTTACGCAGGAAAAACCGAAGAAAACTGGGTTTTATTTCTTAAAGTTCTAATCAACTTGTCAAGTAGCGGTTACATGGTAAAGCGATACCGAAAGTCAAGTAACAAAACTACAAAACTACAAATTTGGTTCATCTCTTGTCTTCCCACCCTTCACACACGAAGAGTGGTCTTGTGAGAAATGTGTTTCGAACAGCCACCACTGTGTGCACGAAAATGGAACTAAATGAGAAATCGAGCAACTTGGCTCGGAAAACAACCATCTCGAATGTTTGCGATATAGTAATTACACGAAGTAAGTTCAGTAGGAGACCAACGCGCTAAAACGAAACGCTTGGGCAAAAGAATGTCTCGTTTACATTGCCCTTTATTAGCGATGAAGTAAGCGTAGCTATAAAACGATGTTTAAGAAGGGCAGGTGTAGAGGAATCGGTATCGACACCGATACTCTTCGTCGTCAGTTAGTTCGTAACCGCCTGAATGGCCGTCTATGTTAAACATCAAAATGCGTAATTTGCATTTACGGCAGGTAAGGTGATTGCATGAGTTCAGGTACGGTGTTCCTAATTTCTTGTAAAGAGTGCATGGACGAATACATTGGCGAAAAGGGTAGACAACTCTGCTTTCGTTTAAAACAACATCCAGCTTGTAAAATCGGGGTCAAACCACTACTCCACTGGGTGCGCATAGGATACAGAAAGGTAACGGGAAGAATTCGCAGTAAAAGCTGCCATACTAACGGTGAAATCAAAAAAGTCAGTGCGCAAAACTCTCGAAACGCTTTGGCTAAATTCCAAGAGTTTAAAAATAAACCGTTTGGAGGAAAACCTCGTTAACACGCGTGACCTCACAAGGTGCTTAAAACTTAGAAGCAAATGTGAGAGAGGTACACTACTCTTAAAAGTGAACTCTGTGCGTTTCGTCTCTGCACGAATTACTCAGTGTAGTGCTCAAAGGAAGCAGAACGCCAGGTTGTTCACAAGTAAGGACTAAAGCAACAACCTTGTGTGTTGCTTGTCAAGAGACCAGCAAATTGTAATATTTGTTTAAACCCTTTGTTATTCTAATCCTCGCATTCTTCTTTAATTTGTCTCTTCAAACCAAGAGAAAGAGAGAATTTCTTCACTTGTAAACAAAAAAGGTTCTTTTTGCTTCAACTGTGCACATGGAGACTTCAATCGCCCCTCAGAGGTTCAATAAATTCCCTGAATGTAGCACAAAAATTTCGAGTTTCCTATTTTATTGAGCCGTTTTTCGGCTGAATAGTTTATAGCTTTTATGCCACAATGTTTCGAAACCGACCTTCCCTAAACCTCGGTGTGACAAATCAATATGTATTCTTTCTTGATAAGCTTGATCACTGAGTGAGGATACCTCATTCGAGAAGATGGCTCGCTGAGGAAGATCTGGCTCGACAGGAAGGCGAAGACGCAACGTCGAGGCGAACAACAAGCATGGACCATCGACTCGGATCACCGGCTCTGAGGAAGACGAAGACGTCGAAACGTTAGCCGAAAATAAATATATTTATCAACCTCGTGCAAGCTTATCAAGAAAGAATACATATGCCACAATGGTTTAAAAGAAAAGTTGTCCATTCTAGGCAGTTCCCGATCGACTTCTCCTTTCAAGACACGGTGGCAGATGCCGAAAAGAAGTTCGTTCCAAACAGACACGATGCCAAGCTTCGAAGCGCTCTATTCACCACGCCTTGCGATATCCCTCTCGACCAATTCGCCTTGATAGGATTTGCATTCTGCAGAGATATGTTTGCTTACAAAACGAAACTGTGTGGAAAAGAAAGTCGCCCAGACCGTGAGAGTGCATGAAATCGACAAGTGTTGGGGTAGAATACGCAGCACCATTTGTCCAGTACTTGTCGTACTGTCGTTCGGTACATATTGCAGTGACCGTGTTTCCAAAGATTATGCATCAGTCATCATTTTCGCGGAGGCTGAAAGACATTGCATCATTAGACGGTCCGTTTCCATTAGGAAATCAAACAACTATAAGAATTAACTCCGACTTCCGACTTTCTATTAACCTCGGCATTGATTGGACAATTCTTTCTACTGCTGTTGAGCAAACACGAGGTGCTATTTCATTTCTTTAGTTATGTACAAGGTGACTTTCCTGCCGATTTCGCCTCCCTCAGAGCCTGGAAAGGTTAAGTTCACAGCAACCTATTCTGCCAAACACCTCCATAAAAAAACGCTAAACCAAGATTTCAATCACACTGAACACAGTTCCGCACACTCACCACAGTTCCGCACACTTATGAGTCTTCCACTGAGTATGTCGTGTGAAGACCAACCGCGCAGAATTGACATGGAACCGTAATGTGCCTCTCCCATCAGAATAACAGGTTTATATACTGCCTTATATCACGCATGATAATGAGGCATTCCTTCTTGTGGTGTATTTCCGGATTCTTGGAATTAACACAGAATGCCTCTAGAGTTCTGAGCGCTTGCGTTCTTGATTCGTGCGCGCGGATCGTGAAACGTACTTCAAAATCCTCCGCGTTATGTCTCTGGGTTCTATGCGTGCCTAGTGGGGTATTTGGTTTACGTTCGCCTCTGGAGGAGAATAGTGGGTAGGTCAGTGATGATTTTCAGCTCTATTAGGTCTGATGCTAAAACTTTGCAGAAAAAACTCGAAGACCATTTGAGTTAATCCCATAACACGGCTTAAATAGCGCACAGAGATATCGCTAACGAACATCAAACAGGTTACAGTAGGATAAGTAGTGTGCAAGAAATCTCAAGGCTAACCGTGTTAGGAGGCATGACTCTCCCTGACGGTGCGCGCTCGTTATTAGAATTGGGACAGAGTTTCTCACCTTCTGAACCCATTTATAAGATAACCTTGCGTAGGGTCACATGTAGTTTACATGAACTTCAAGATAGACTCCGCAAAAAAAAGCTAGAGATGAAGCGCGAAATAGGAGCGAACAACACCAAGTGAGAGCCCTACCAATAGTACCATTTCCTCAGCCGTTCTTTAGACAATAGGAGCCTAGTAATGAAGTTGATGTTAAATTTCGGATGTTTAGAATTACTATGAGAACCACCGGAACGTGGTAAGCGAGAGGTGAGGGAGCTGATAAGGTCGAAATACACAAGACCATCCATTAGTGATAAGGGCGGAGAGTTCGTCGTAATTCCCCATCAGTTAGGTGTTGAGATAACGAAAAAGCATCTTGAAGATGCTTCACTTTATCGCCCATAATCTGAGAGGGAGTTTAAGAGTAAATACCGAAAATTGAACCACGAAAAAACCGAAAGCCGATACATTACGAAATGGTATCGAAAGCAAAGCAGTAAAAAGGTCTTGGTTCATTACTTCTTCTCTCGCTCCTCTCACACGAAAAGGACGCTTGTGAGAAACATGTTTCGAACAGCTACCAGCGCTTGCACAGGAAGAGAGCAGAGAGAGGAGTCCCGGAACTTGGCGCAACAAATAGCCATTTTAAATGCCTACGAAACTGTAGCTCGAGATAGTTGTAGAGGAAACCACAGGTACCCTAACGATAACTCTAGCGACAACAAGGTCCCGTCTATACTGCCCTTAATTTCAAATAAAATAAGTGCAGCTGTAAAACGCTGTTTAAGAAGATCCGGTCCATAGAATTCGATAACGATAATCGAAATGCCACCGAGTAATCATAGGCGCCATTTAGTTCGTAACCGCCTATATGACCGTCTGTGTGCAACGCAAAATTGCATTATTTGTTCCAATGGTAAAGAAGGTGATTGCATGAGCTCGAGTATAGTTTATCTGATCTCCTGTAAGGCGTGCGGAGGGAAATACATTGGTGAAATGGGCAGACCCCTTTGTGTCCGCATAAAAAACTCCTAGTCGGCAAACGTAAACCAAATAGTCCACTAGGTACGCATAGAACCCAGAGACATAACGGGGAGGCTTTGAAGTACGTGTCACGATCTTCGCGCAGTAATCAAGAACGCGAGCTCGCAAAGCTCTAGATTCATTCTGTGTTAATTCCAAGAATCCGGAAATGAACCACAAGGAGGATTGCCTCATTATCATGCGTGATATAAGGCAGTATATAAACCTGTTATTCTGATGGGAGAGGCACATTACGGTTCCGTGAGAATTCTGTGCGGTTGGTCTTCACACGACATACTCAGTGGAAGACTCATAGAAAGCGATGAGTGTGCAAAGAAACCATTCTGTGTTCAATGTGATTGAAATTTTCGTCCAGCATTTTCCCTATTTGTTTATGGAGGTATTTAGCCGAATAGGTTGCTGTCAACTTGGCCTTTCCAGGCTCTTAGGAAGGCGAAATCAGCCGAAACGTCAGCTTGTACGTAAATAAAGAAATAAAATAGCACCTCATGAGAATTAATTTATGACGGTGACTTTGCTTGCAATGCGTGAACAATCGATGTTCAATCGCTTCTGGCCGTAAGAATCGCTTAAGAGCAGTTTGTGAGGTTACACTTTGTTAAATGTAAAGACTTTTTTAACGAAGATAAACGTATCTTTTTATTAGAACAAAATTCGGAGCTTTTTCCATAGCCTTTTCCATTACTGTAAGATTGCGTAATCTTCCTAAAAATAAATTTCAATGTGATTTAAACGCCCGACGAGATACGCATTCCGCGATTTTTCATGCGAAAAGGAACTCTGAAAGGTAGAAAGATAAAGTTAGCACAAATAACCCATAATGTAATTTTTTAAGCAGTTCAGTGTCCAAACTCTTCGTGCATACTGTTTTGCCCCATTGGATTGTTCACTGGTGATCTCAGCCACCTGTGATATTTTCTTGGCAGTACAAGTATTTCCTCACTTCAGATTCCAAATCTGCCGATCGTCCGTTGAGTGCTGCAAGCCCACCATCAATCGGATTTCCAAGGTTAGCACTAGGACGGTTAACTTCTACTTCAACGCACTGCAGTGGTTCGTAGTTTATTCTTACAGTGAGCTGACCCAAAATTATTTGAATTATGGGGTCGTGGAGGCCGGCAGCATGACCTTGTTGTTCGAGAACTTCAAACACCTGAAAAACAGAGTAGCCTGTCCAAGAAATGAGAACTCACTGCCTGCATTACAGTACGCGTCACAAATCCTCTGGCTGCAGCTGCACTCGGTGCAATACCGGAGACCTGAGCAGCTGCACCAGGTGCCATTGAGAAAACCATGTGCACCGGCAAGCTGAAGCCGGTAACGCTGAAGGTCCTTGTGCTCATTGCGGCTGAATTCAACAAACTGTCTATTGAATAGATATGAAAAGAAGAAAATTCCACAACTTGTTTAATCGATAGACGAAAGTTAGGAGTAATGAATGTTTCCAAACAAATGGCTAAAAAAATTGTCAAGTGATTAAGTAAATGGTGGTTTCTCAGTCTCATCGTTATTGGTACCATATATTTGGGAAATTTGGCACAACCATTGCCGAGCTGGGAGCGAAGCCTTTTCCTTTAAAATATTCTTCTCTCTGCACTTTTTTAAGGTAACAAAATACTGTACTTGCTTTGTGCGATTCCATTAATTGTTCCTATTCTTTTATGTTCCCGTATGTTCACACAGTAATTATGTCAGTAATTAACTGCTTCAAAAGAGGTGCGCGACGCGCAGTGGTCGGAGACGCTCTGCACCCGTGGTTCACCAAACTCTCCATCCCTTCGCAGTCAGCGAATTGGTATCAAACTTGTCCGGGGCGATAGCAGCACCGGCTCGACACATCAAGCAACCGCGAGTCATTATAAAGGCCAGATGTATATTTAATCTCCCCCAAACGATGCTTAATGAAATCGACTGCATGGCGCTTTCCCAAGGAACTGATCGACGCCGAGAGTTTTAACCCTTTATTAACTACATTTGAACTTTCTAATATCGAATAGCAGTCCTACGGTATGTAACCGTTCCTATCTCATTCTGAGAACTGACTCGATGGCCTACTTTCCACTGAAAACTGCAATGTTTTTGATGTGTTGGTTGGGAATATAATCTTCACCCTGCTTTTGAACTGTTGCCGACTCAAATGGATACGTTACTACTATAACGTGTTGGATGGAGTAGATTCGTAGCAAATTCTTTGGGTCGTCCGGCTTTTCCTTGGCATATGTCAATGATCTGTTATTTAGGCTTTTCTCGATTTTTGTTAGCAGAATTGCCAAATTTGATTAATACTTTCTACTTCTATTCAGCAAACACGTGGTGTTTTTAATTTCTCCATTTACGTACAAGCTGACGTTTCGGCGGATTTCGCCTTTCTAAGAGCCTGGAAAGGTCAAGTTGACAGCAACTTATTCGGCTAAACACCTCCGTAAACAAATAGAGAAAATGTTGGACGAAAATTTCAATCACATTGAACACAGAATGGTTTCTTTGCTCACTCACCGCTTTCTTTGCGCTTTCTTTGAGTCTTCCACTAAATATGTCACGTGGAGACCAACCGCACAGAGTTCACACGGAACCTTATTGTGCTCATCTCATCAAAATGACAGGCTTATATACCGCCTAAAATCACGTGTGATAATGAGGCATTCCTTCCTGCTGTTTATTTTTGGAATCATGGAATTAATCCAGAACGCCCCTAGAGTTTTGCGCGCTTGTGTTCTCGATTCTTGCGTGAGGATCGTAACCCTTACTTCAAATTCTTCTCCGTTATATCTCTGCGTCCTATGCGAGCTTAGTGGAGTACTTGGTTTACGTTTGCGGACTAAGTGTTCTTTCATACGGACGCAGAGTGATCTACCCGTTTCGCCAACGTATTCCTCGCACGCTTTAAAAGAGAACAGATAGACTGTACCCGAACTCATGCAGTCACCGTCTCTACCATTGCGAAAAATTATGCAATTTTGCGTTTGCACATAGACGGTCGTATAGGCGGTTACGAACTAGCTGACGCCTTAGATTATTCGGTGGTATTTCGATTATCGTTACCGAATTCTCTAAACTGGCCCTTTTTAAACAGTGTTTTATAGCTGCACTTACTTCATTTGAAATTAAGGGCAGTATAAACGGAGCCTGATTGTCGTTAGAGTTATCGTTGGAGTATCTGTGGTTTCCTCTACACCTATCTCGAACCCCAGTTTCGTAGCCATTAAAGATGGCTATTTGCCGCGCCAAGTTCCGGGAATCCTCTCTCTGCTGTCTTCCTGTGCAGACGCTGGTAGCTGTTCGATTCATGTCTCTCACATGCACCCTTTTCGTGTGAGAGGGGTGAGAGAAGAGGTAATGAACGAGGTTTTTTTTTTACTACTTAGCTTTCGATACCATTTTGTAATGTAGCCGTTTTTTGATAGACTAATTTGCGCGTTCAAAAATGATTTCTCTCAGGTGAATTTAATATACCCTGACTGTTCGTTCAACAACTCGAAACATCTGTCGATTTCTTATTGTGTAGAACAAATAACCAAACAGTCATCTATATATCTGCAGTAGAGTAACGGACCGAGGTCGATAACTGGCGCTTCCACTTTAGACATGAATTCAATGGCAAGGTTTGGTGCCAGTCGTTGTCCCATTGCCAGCCCTCTCATTTGTGCGTAATACCTCCCGGAGCATCTGAAGATTGAGCAGTTTAGGCACTCCTTTAAGAGTGTCATCAACTGCTGAATCGAGAAGCCGTACATGTTTATTGCTCCCTCGTGTTGTATAAGGAGCTCGTTTATGGCTTGCATAGCTGAGTCATTCGACACGTTCGTATACAGGGCAGTGACGTCGAAAGACTCCACCACGTATGCTGTTGGGTCGCACGTTACGTAGACGATCCAACAACATTTGGGTGTTCGTTAGATGGGCTGGAATGTACTTCAACAGCTGGGTAAGTATTAAAGTTATTAACCACGTTATTCTATCCGTTGGCGCATCCACGCAGCTAATCATATGTCTGACCTTAAATAACGATGGATCGGTAGACACGAGATCATCGCTGGATACTAATTTATAGGTTTTGATAAGTAAGTACAAGGCAGGACATGTTGGTAAATTAACCATGAGAAGAGAGATAACTGATGGCTTAGCCCAGCCGCTCTTGCTACTTTAACCCACTCGTTGTTTAACTTTCGGTATTGACTTTTAAATTCCTTCTCAGACGACGGACGATAAAGGGAAGCATCTTCAAGGTGCTTTCTGTTATCTCAACATCTAAACTAATGGGAAATTACAATAAACTCTCTAGCTTTATCACTAACCGGTAGTCTTATGTTTTTCGATCTTATCAGCTCTCGTATCTCTCCCATACTACGTTTTTGTATTCCAGGGAGATTGGAGCACTATCTCTTGGCGCGATAGTGATTAAGGAGTTTGAAAGCTTCATTCGTAAACGTCCGAAATTTAATGTCAACTTTATTACTGGGTTTTTGTTGTCTAAGGAACGGTTGAGGAAATGGTGGTACTGGTATTTTCCTTACTTTTGTTGTTCGCGTCTATTTAGCGCATTATCACCAGCTTTTTTGCTGAGTCTATCTTGAAGTTCATGTAAACTACATGCGACTCTGCGCATTATTCAAGCAGTGCCGAGGTTAACAGAAAGTCGGACGTAGGAGTTGCTAAGTTTGATGTTGTCTTAGCAGTGCTCGACAAGGAAAACAGCACATTCTCGAAACAGACTTTGGTTTCTCATCTTGTGCAAGAACAGTTTGTACGTTGTTCATCACTAGTCAATAAACGAAGATCCTAGTCGAAAACCATGTATTGGCAAAAAGGTATGGTGTTTTAATTGTGAACTCTTTAAACACTTGGTGAAAATTAACAGTAGTGAGATAAATGGTCTTGGTGGTAGTTTGGTAGTTCTTTAACAAATGATGGAACTTCATGCCCTCGCTTTTGTGTGAAGATAACTTCTGTAGAACCTTCTATCCGTAGTGATCTTATCTCTCGATGACAGGTGTCCGATTATATCCATCATCCATCGTTAGCGAAACATAGTCTAATTGAGAATCATGGTGTTATATCTGCGAGCGATTTCTTATGTTGGTTATTGTGAGGATTTTCTCCTTCCCATGTAGTCAGAAGACCTTAGTAGTTGTCATGGTGGGGTGTTAGCCTGGTCTGTTTGGAGTGTGCGGTGTTCTTCATTAGAATAGTCTCGTAATGAACACTTTACCTCATTCGCAAGTAGAATGCTGAACTTTAAATTCCATAAGAAAGCTTGTAGTAATGACATGAGATGAGACAAAGTAGAATTACTAGATATGCTGTTTGAAGATGTGTAATCGTCTTTTGCGCGACTTATCCGACCAGCTACAGTGAAAAGGAGGTTTTCGAAAAGAAATAGATTTTTATTTTCCACAAACTCCTGTCTATTTTCTAAAAGTTGACTGGCTAATAGTTATTAATTCTGTATTTTCGGAGATTGATTTGTCTTTACATAGAGAGAAGTACTCCGCTGTTCACGTTATCTAATCAAAGGGAAACTTCCGGTCGACCATGGGTGTATTGATATCTTCACAGACCATTGGATTTTGGTTTATTTCTGGCAGGTTTAGTTGTTAATGTTGGTGGTCTTTCTAAATGTAGATACCTCTACATCGTTAGCTATGCATATATCATAGTTAGCAGGTTGTACACACCTAGGATTTGAGTCCCTCACTGAGTTTTTTAGCGCCGATGTCATATGCAGTAAGTCCATATTTGCGTAGTACTGCCGCAGTGCTGCCTTAATATACATAGTTCTGCAAGGTGTGTTGAGATAAGTACCCCTAAGCGTTGTTGAGAGTTCAGTTCACATTATTGCGTTTTCTCATTTTTATTTTTTTTTCTTTTTTTTATTTTTTCAGAGCATTTATTGTGGAAGATTTCATTGGACCGCCCATCTTTCGGAATTACATATTGGAGCGCTTAGGACGAAGGATGATTTTCACGATATCCGTTACTATTGCCCAATATGCTCGCTGTTTATGGCCTACAAACTTTTCTTTCGAGTCATCCTAAACTGGATAGACAGAACACTAGACAAAGGACAGCCATGTGAGCAAACAGGGTTTCGAAAGGATTTACTTGGATGGACACCATCCACAGGATAACAAGACTCATTGAAGTATCGCGAGAGGGCAAGGACCGCTCTGTCTCCCCTTCATCGATTTAAAGAAGATTTTTGACTCAAATGAAATAGAAGCAGTCATGGAAGCCCTTGATAGCCAAGGAGTCCCTACTCAGTACATAATGATTCTTTGTGAAC